GTTTGGGGTTTTTTCATGCAGGGACTGGGGACCGACGAGGAGACCTTAATCGAGATCGTCTGCTCCAGGAACAATGAAGAACTCGCTGAGATCAAGAGGGTTTACAGAGACCGTGAGTCACGTTTCAGGAACCTGAAAATACTAAATAAATATATAACAGAGGTTTTCATGAGCTAAAGGCAAAAAGTGAGAAAATGTGACTTTGACTTTCTCTGCAGTGTTTAAGAAGGACTTAGAGAAAGACGTAGCAGGAGACACGTCGGGAAACTTTGCTAAACTGCTGCTGGCTCTGGTTCAGGTAGGACTTCATTTATCTTCACAAAGCAGGAAAAACTCTGACAGGTTCCCATAAAACCCTAAAAATGATGTTTCACATACAACACAGGAAATGTTAATAAATATAAACAGGAAACTTCATTTTGACTTTAGTGGATTTGGTAAAAATATTTCAGAGAACGAAATATTTTCTAAGAACAGTTACGAAAAATATTCAGACAGATACGAAAAAACCTACAAAAATTACTTTCACAATATTTAATAATAAGTTGATAGCCTTTGTCAGACAGTGTCAGTCACACTGGTTTCTCACCGACACTCTGAAAACACGAATGCTTTTCTAGGATATTTATAGTTTTGATGTTTGGATAAGAAAATGAGCTTTGATTTATTTTAGTCTCGACAAAAACCTGTTTTTATTTAATCTCTTCTTTTTTTCACAGACGAGACGAGATGACCCTTCTAACGTTGTCGACTATGAGAAGATTGATGAGGATGCCAGAGTAGGTCAAAATATATATATTTTTTTCTTTAAAGGTACTTTTTGTAAATTCACGTGACTTAAAAAATCTTTAAAACCTTCTAAGAGTTAAAGTTATCAAAAGAATGTGAAAAAACAAAAGAAAGTGACCATGTTGAACGGCGTAGAAGAGTAATCATTGTTACAGCGATGGCATGAATGTGCAACGTGTCTGAAAACATCTCGGTGCCCCCTGGTGGTGAAAGTTAAAGCTTACAGGACATGATTACAAAAAGCAAAGTTTGGTGTCCTCTGAGGGGATAATCTAT